CCTTAATCTTATTCCCCTACAAAACCTCTACATAGACCTTAATCGGCCCCTGTAGAAGGGCTTGCTCGGTTTGATTAGGAATTCATCCAGCGCAGGGCAGATATGTTCCTAATCTTGCACATCCCCCCCCCCCCCCATGCGCACAAAAACTGCACCGAAGCACGCAAAGCCAGAAAGCCCGAAACCCCCCAAGCCCTGCAGGCCCTGAACCCTCAAACCCCTAAGCGACAGACCACAACACCCGAAGCCCAAAACCTCAACACCCTGAACTCTAAACCCTAACTCCTAAAAACCCTAAACCTTAAACCGCAACCCTAAACCCTAAACCCTAAACCTTGGCAATACTTGCTTTAAGTACGATATTCCTGGCGCAGACTTGCCTGTCGAAGTTGTGCAGAAGAGTGCAAAGAACAACTGCTATCACATCCCGCGCCCTTTGCTTGATCCAGCTCTGGAGCAAAACGTGGCGCGACTTGAGCAATTCTACGAGCAAACCTTCTGGTGCAATCTGACAGTGTTCGAGTGCTTCCAATCGGCAATTGCGATCGCCAAGCGTGGCCTGAACGTGGACAGATGCTTCATAGGTATTTCGCCGGGCGGCGTGGGCCAAAGTTTATATTCACTGCATATATCTGAAAGGTTCAAGCCCTAAAGACCGAAACCCTAAACCCTGAACTCTGAACCCTAAACCCCAAACCCTAAACCCGAAAACCCAGCACTAAAGACCCTAAAGACCCTGAAGACCCTAAAGACCCTAAAGACCCTAAAACCCCACAAGCCGCACCGGTTTCATCCTGGCCTTCAGACTGCAAAGCCGCAAGGGCCAAATCCTGGATTCTGGCAACCTTATTAACCAATTATAACTGTACTTATAGCCCACTTATAAGCCCCTTAAGTGCCCTGATTTGGTTATCAGTACAGTTATAGGTACAGTTATAGTTGGTTATTGAGTACCATGAACCTGCAAGTAGACCCTAAGCCCTAAACCCTAAACCCTAAACTCTCAACCCCAAACCCTAAACCCTAAACCCTAAACCCTAAACCCTAAACCCTAAACCCTAAACTCTCAACCCCAAACCCTAAACCCTAAATGGGGCCTTCGGGGTGTGTTGGGGTTTTGGGGCTTAGGGTCTAGGGACTCCTCAGTCCTAAACCTTAAACCTTACATCCTAAACGCTAATACCCTAAGCCCTATGACTCCCAAAACTGTAAACCTTACATCCCAAACCCTAAACTCTAAACCCTAAACCCTAAACCCTAAACCCTAAACCCTAAACCCTAAACCCTAAACCCTAAACCCTAAACCCTGGACCTTACATCCTTTGACTCCCCAGACCCCAACGACTCAAGGAAGCGGGAAGCAAGTGCACATGGCAAACTTCCAGTCCATCAACCTGCCGATGCGATTTCATGGTCGCAGTCCTAGATGGATGTTTAGGTTCTGGGTTTAGGGTTGAGGGTTTAGGGTCGAGGGTCTAGGGTTCAGGGTTTAGGGTTGAGGGTTTAGGGTTTAGGGTTTAGTGTTTAGGGTTTAGGATGCTTAGGTGTCCAGGTTTAGGTTTTAGGGTTGGTGTTTCAAGTCAGGTGCTTTCTGCTTGGCGTCGCTCTATCATGTCCCTGGCCGGCATTACGGCTTTCGAAGGGGGGGAGTGGGTCTAGGGTTTGGGTTTTGGGTTTAGGGTTTGGGGTTTAGAAACCCTAAGCCCTGCACCCCAAAAACCGCTTTAGGGCTTACTTTCAATTCCCGGCACCACACGCGGATTTTGGGGTCTGGGGTGGCTTTCGGGTTTGAGGGTTTTAGTGATAGGGTTTGAGGGCGTTTTTTTTTTTTTTTTTTTTCAGTTTTACGGGTTTTAGGGTTGCAGGGTCACGCTAAACCCTAAAACCAGGGGGTTTACAGTCCTAAACCCTAAACCCTAAGCCCTAAGCCCTAAACCTGGACCGGCAGGTTCCCCTAAGGCCTAAACGGTAGAGTTTAGGGTTTAGGGTTTTAGGGTTTCTTGGGGTTTTGTTGAAAAATAGGTAGGCCCTTGAAAGATTTTACATTTTCCCTTCCCAGGTTTTCGAGGATCATCCTCATAGTCCTAGGTTCCCCGCGTTCGCTTGCCCGGCGCACTGGCGAACCTGAGCCGGCACCTGGTGAAGGACGGCCCCTTCGCAGCAGCTAGAGTTTTTTTTAGTGGCCTTGCCTCCGTCTGTCCTCGACCCCAATCCAAAAAGCCCTTAAACCCGCCAAAGCCCTAAACCCACCAAACTCCCCCAAAACCCTAAACTCCTGAAGCCCCCAAACCCAAAAGCCCAAGCTTTCTGAGCCCTAAAACCGAAACACCCCCCATCAAGCAAACCTGAAGCCCATAGACCTATGAGGTTTTGGTAGGTTCAGGGTATAGGGTTGCGGGTCTAGGGTCTAGGGTTCAGGGTTTGGTTTAGGGTTTAGGGTTTAGGGTTTAGGGTTTCGGGCTTAGGGTTTAGGAGTAGGATTGAACTTTTGTCTACGAAAGCCGTGGCCTCCCCAGCCAGAGTCTGAGACATTCCTTCGCTGGCTAGATTAGAAACAACAGGCTTAGGGTTTGCTGTTGCCATCAGTGTACCTGGCACCCCTCAAGCCCCTAGACCCGAAACCCTAAACCCTAAACCCTAAAAAATAATCAACCCTAAACCCTAAACCGCTTTCAGACGTGGGATCTCGTTGGGCCATGGTAACGAAGATCTAACCTGTGCAACACAGCAGCGCTGCGCGGCATCTGCGGCTCCAAAAAGAGGACAGTCAGAGTTAGGGTTTAGGGTTTAGGGTTTAGGGCTAAGGGTTTTGGGTTTAGGGTTTAGGGTTTAACCTCAATGTCAATGGCCCTTTGACACTTCACCCTGGCACTGCTGTGTTCCTGTCGGTTTCCTCGTGCTAGCTCCCAACATGTCGGATGCTACATGCTTCTACATCTGAGCGGAGCAGGCTACTGATCATGTTCTGAACGCTTGTGGTAGTAGAAGTCAACCCTAAACCCTAAACCCTAAACCCTAAACCCTAAACCCTAAACCTAAAACCCTAAACCGTTTCCTGAAGGGCGCCACAAGCAGAATTCCGCCGCCGGAGAGTTGGCGCGATGGGCTCGGAGGAGATGGCAAACTCCCTTCCCCGAGGACTTCCAAGGGGATCATTGGAAGAAAGAGGAGCATCTGGTTTAGGGTTTAGGGTTTAGGGTTAGGGTTTAGGGTTCAGGGTGTAGGGTTTAGGGTTTAGGGCTTGTGAAGCGGCTACGAAACTGGATGACCTGCTTCTTGTGGGAGAAAGCTGTAATGACAGCCCATGGTGACTAAGGCAAACGCTGAACACGCCTTGTCGGCAATCGCCAACGCATCGCATTGCCCCAAGCCCTTATCCCTAAACCCCAAACCCGAAACCCCAAGCCCTAAACCCTAAACCCCAAACCCTTCACAACTCCATTCTTGCCTTCTACAGCGCCATAGAACTACGGATCGTTGTCGTCATCCTCGGCCTCCTCTTCGTCGCGGTGGTGGTCGTCGTCGTCGTAGTAGGAGTAGCAGTTAGGAGTAGGAGTAGGAGTAGGGGGAGGAGTAATAGTAGTAGTAGGAGGACCGCGGGTGTTTATTGCCCGTGTACTCTTCGGCACTTTCGGCTGGAAACCTATGCTTTTTCGGGTTACTCTCATTTTCTGAGACCTCCGTCACCTGAAGTTTTTTAGGCCTTTTCCAAAACGCGTTTTTTCGGGTTTTGCTTTTGGACACTTTTCCGATGTTGGCTGTGCGTTTCTTCGGGTTTTTGCTGTTTTTGTGCTTGTTTTTTGCAGCTTCTTTTGTGTGTTTCCTTTTTTGTGGTTCTCTGTAGTTTTGTAAGCCTTTTCCTCAACATGTTTTTCGGGTTTTGTCTTTCAGCCACTTTTTGGTCTTGAATGTGCGTTTCTCTTGGGTTTTTGCTACTCTTCCTTGCTCTTCTACCTTTGTTGTGTTTTCATGACTTCACGTTTTTGGTCTTGAATGTGCGTTTCTTTCGGGTTTTCGCTACTCTTCTTCACCATGATTCCGTCCGTGCTCGTCTTGCGTGCGAGTCGCCAGAGCATCCCTGCCCGCGCAATGATTCCGTGGTGCTCGTCTTGCCCTGCAACCTAAGCAAAATGCTTGTCCCGTACCACGGGCAAACATCACCCGTGCACCTAACAGAATTAGGAGGAGGAGGAGTTGCAGTAGCAGTAATCGTCGTAGGAGGAGTACGTAGTAGGAGTAGTAGTAATAGTAAGAGTCATCGTCAAAACAGTAATGGCTAATCATAGCAATGCAAGGGTTATTCTCATATTTCTTTAGCCTGTAAATGCTGGTCCCAATTTGGCAATCTTGTACCGTCTCCTGAGAAGGATGGCACGACGAGATCGAGGCGACCCTGTACAGGACCGAGAAGGTCAAGTATGGCCTTTGCGAGTACTTCATCGCGAAGAGTAGCCAAGAGACAGATTCCTTTCGCATGCAGTTGGTCGTGTGTCCCGTTGGCGAGACTCGTTGGGATGGCTTTGACGATGATGGGCGTTTGTGTGTGTACGTGCAGATGCTTCCTCCAGAACATCTTAAGGGTAGCCACTGGTCTGGCCGGAATGTGTGCTTCCAGCTCAACATTGTGAACGAGAAAGGACAAGAGTTCGCAACCCGTTCCAGCACTTTCGACTTCACGGACTCCTCGTGTTCAGCAGGGTTCGGGGACGTCGTTAACTTCAATTGTCACGACGGCCAGGACTTCGAAAGGCTTCTTATTCGTGGCAAAGCATTCCTAGCACCGCCGCGTCGAAGCAGGCGCAAGGAGCACACGGAAATGGTGTTCAAAAAGTCGGACGTCCCCAGCTTCGGGTCCAGATCAACTTTAGTTTCCGACGGGATTGGGCCTCCGAACTCATTGATCTGGAAACTGCATGTGGGTGAGTACGACGGAGGCCTTCGAATCTTCATTGAGATGACCAGTGGCCAGAACGCTGAACAAAAATCTTGGGCGGCCAACGATGTGCACTGTACCGTGACCTGGCCTTTGCGGCATGCTTTCCATTTAAGATTGTCTGCCAACCCTACATTTCAGGAGCCCCGACTGAACCACAGAAATGTTGTGGCGATCTAAACCCATACATATCACCCAGACTCCCTTGAAATCCATCCTTCGCGTGGACTCCCTGTAAGGTTACCCTGCTGGCTGAAGGATGGTCAAAGGATCGGTCGGCTAGCTTCAAACTTCCGTGCATCTCGCAATTCCATTGCGAGAGGGTGGTTTCACGTTTGTCCCGTGGACTGGCTCGATGAAACAAAAGTTACCGTGCGTGCCACTGTTGATTTCCCGCTTCTCACACGCTCTGAAAATGCAGCACATGCTACTTTCCAGGCCATAGATTTCAGCGAAGAGCCTGTGTTCGTCCAGATTTTGTTGGGTGATGGACCGCCGCAGTATTTTGACAAGCGAGTTCTGGTGGCTCGATCCGAGTATTTCAGGACGATGCTGACTGGTGCCCAATGGAAGGAGGGACTGCATAACGAGATCGATCTGACCAAAGATCCTCAAGCAACAAGTGCCACCGTGCGAGCAGTTCTGCAGTTCATGCTGACGAATGCGTTCTGCGCTGACGGTGACGCTGAATTCGCATTTTCTGTTCGGTGCCTTGCGGATAAATATCGGCTGGCAGGCCTTGTCGAACAGGTAGATGCAGAGTTGGAGACCTTGCTTTCCGAAAGCAATGTCCTCATGTTCTTGAAACAGATCTACGGAAGTGGTAGTCGCCTCGAGACAACCTGTCGGCAAATGCTACAGGTTGATGATTGCAGGCTCCTGAAGATCCACCAAGAGCAGCTCACTCAAACAGCGACTCAGCATCCAGAACTGGGTGGCTATTTGATGAGTTGCCTGCTGCAACTTGGGGAGCGCCCACAGCGCAAGCGCAAAGCCAGCCTAGATGATGAGGAGCAGTTTACATACTATTAGCGCTCTGGATGCGCGCAGCAAAAAGATTAACTTTGTTTTTTTTTGGGGGGGGAACATTTGTGTAGATATTCGGCTTCAGGGTATGCTGCTTGGGTTTGGGCTTTCGAGCTTATAAGGGCGTTTGGTACTTTAATGGCGAAGGATGGCGAAGCGTTGAAACGGATGATGGATGATGGCTTTTGGGCTTAGGGTTTCAGGGATGGACGCTGGTTTGTTGAGAGACTCGTTGAACATGCATAGGCTAAACCCGAACCCGCAATCGAGCACTCTAAACTCCAAACACTCGGGTCAGTTTACTCTATGATTCCGATTTGAGATATCATCGAATTCCCGCAGCCCTTTACCCTGAAGGCTAACGACACTAACCAGTCGTGACTTGAGGGTTTGAGCTTTCTGGTTGAAAAGGCCAGAAACCCACGGTTTCGGGATTGGGCTTATAGGTCTTGATGTTGAAAGGTGAGGGTTGTTCAGGGTTCAGCGTGAGATTTACAACCTCAAAATAGGGCTTAGGTTTCTAGGGATAGGGTTAACTTTGAGGCTGCGGGGGCTTGGTAACCAGTTTGATATTAGCAGGGCTTGCATCCCAACTCAAACAACACACATCTGGGGCAGCCCTTGAAAGGGCAGCTAAGCGAATTCTACAAATTCTAAACCTCGTTTAAACCTTCCACAACGAACCCTGTACCCCAAACACTAAACCCTAAACATTGCCCGAGGCGTTCTCCTGGTGACAATGCCTCATGGGCAGCTCCTCAGTTGGTTCTTGGGGCAGGGGTTTCGGGGTTTTGGGGTGTCAGCGTTTAAGGACTAGGGGTTCTTAGGGGCATGGGTTTAGGGCTTAGGGGTTCTCAAGGGAAGGGGTTTAGTGGTTGAGGGGTTTGGGTTTCGGGGTTTTGCTGCCGGATGCGAAGTTCATCGCGCGGGCATGCCGTTTGATGGTAGGATCTTTTACTCACTTGCTGAAGTATTCACCTTTCTCCTGGGTGACTGGGGAACCTAGACTTTCCAGTTTTCCCCTAAACCCTAAACCCTAAACCCTAAACCCTAAACCCTAAACCCTAAACCCTAAACCCTAAACCCTAAACCCTAAATCCTATTCAGGCAGCCGGCAAACCCCAGAACCTAGACTTCCAACCCCCCGAATCCATCTGGTTTCCCCACACCCAATCTAGGACCGAAAGTAGGCCCTAGTCCATCTTTTAGGGTTTGCAGATTAGGGTTTAGGGTTTAGGGTCTTCCTTCTTATTCCTCGGTTACTCTTTGGTCTAGTAATAGCCTGAGGAAAGACTTCCTACACCCGGATGGCTGCTGGGTCAACAACATGCCTCCGGAGGCCATGTGTCCAAAAGCCCCTAAACCCCAAACCCTAAACCCCAAACCCTAAACCGTAAACCCTAAACCGTAAACCCCAAACCCCAAACCCTAAACCCTAAACAAACCCTAAACTCTTTTGGGCTCTTTCCTTTTTGAGCTTGGGGTGCGGGATTCAATAAGTATCGGAAAGCAATTGCAGACACTTCGAGGATTTTCTGTCACAAGACTGGCTATGGTCGCCTCAGTGTTGTGGTCCTTGAAGCCTAATTTTAAGCTGTCAGGGTTTGGGGTTTGGGGATTAGGGTTCGGCCGGACTTGTGTGTCGGTCAGACAAAGAGGTGGGACGTGGCCCACAGGTGACACGAAATGACTACACGGTATGTCGTGGCAGTTTGGAAATGACATTGTCAAGCTTGGGGTTTGGGGTTTGGGGTTGAGGTTCAGGGTTCAGGGTTTAGGGTTTTGGGCCACTTGACGACCGCAAAAGTTTACGTAAATTGAACTTCTGCTCAGTGAACCTTACCGCTCTTAATGGAGAATGAGGGAAGTCAAGTGCCTTAAACCCCGGCCCCCCTCTACGCATGAATCCCTGACAGCCGCCAGCAAGCAACTCGTGGTTCCAGGTTGCAGAACCTCCTTTTCCAGCTACAACAACCCGAAACCCTAAACCCTAAACCCTAAACCCCAAACCCTAAACCCTAAACCCTAAACCCTAAACCCCCTTCTTGGAGCCCTCGGAGTGGGCAACCCCAAGATTTGAACCTTACATTTTCCCCCACACCCTGGGAGGTTGACAATGCCCGACATTCATTTGGGGGGTTCCGAATTTAGGGTTTAGGGTTTAGGGTATAGGGTTTAGGGTTTAGGGTTTAGGGTTTACCTTATTAATTAGGGGTCCCTGATTTGCGAAACCCCCATTTCCAGCGGCCCAAAATTAGCCGGCCTTAAGTTTGCTGGGAAGACAGGCTGGTTGTGGCGAAACACCCAAGACTCCAAACCCTTTAAAACCCTATACCTTAAACCCTAAGCCCTAAGCCCTACGCCCGAAACACTAAGCCCTGTACCTAAAGCCCTAAAGCCGCAAGCCCTAAAGTCCTAAGCCCCAGAGACTATCCGAAGCGCCCAGGAGCCCTAAATCTTACTCAGCCAATAGTTCAACCAAAGTTTTTTGGGATTCCTTATTTAGTAGGAATAATAAGGTTAACCCCTAAACCCCAAACCCTAAACCCTAACCCCTAAACCCTAAACCCCAAAGCCGAAATTTGAGAAGCACGTAAATTCGCAAGGAGCTCACCGATCTCTTGGCGGCCACAGGCTTCGTCGTGGTAGCGAATCCGACATCTGCCCCTCAGCAGCCAGAATTCCAGAAGCCTACCTAGACCCTTGGAGTTTCGGGTTTAGGGTTTTGGGGTTTAGGGTTTAGGGTTTCGGATTTAGGGTTTAAGGTTTAGGGACCCTCAACCCATAAACCCGTAAACCTTGGCATGTTCCCTCCTATACTAGCAGTCCGTAATCGGGATAGTAGTTAGTATAATCCCTCCCTATTCAGTACTCTTAGTATACGGGGGAACATCCTAGCGTCTTGGAGGTTAAGAGTACTTAGTACCCCCTAAACCCTAAACCCTAAACCCTAAACCCTAAACCCTAATAACCCACTCATAAGCCCTAAAACGGAGGAGTCTGCATGGTGTGGTGGTTGGCTTGGTTGTCTCGAGGATTATTTCACCGCTGGAGGGCCAGTTGGAACAGGTGAGTCCAGCTACAGAAACCCGAAACCCGAAACCCTAAATCCTACACCCTAAACCCTAAACCCTAAACCCCAAACCCCAAACCCTAAACCCCAAACCCCAAACCCTAACCCACCAAAAACTGAACCCTGCATCTTTGAGCGTCTTCACACGTTACACCCCAAGAACCTAACTCCCAGCCCCTGAACGTAGGGTTTAGGGCTTAGGGTTTCGGGTTTCGGGTCCCTGAACCCTAAACCCTAAACACTAAACCCTAAACCCTAAACCCTAAACCCTTTGGGGGATTCGGACTTTGGGGAATTGGGCTTCAGGCTGAGGATCCAGGGTGTTGGGACTTGATTAGTGTGTGCGGTTTAGGATTTTGGGACTTGGGGTTTACGGCTTCGGGCTGGGGATTTTGGGACTTTTCATTTTAGGCCCGTCGTTTGGAAGGACTGCTGTTTAGGGGTGTCGGGGGCTTCTGTGGGCTAAGGGTTTGAAGGCCTCAACGCCCTAAACCCTTGACAAAGCCTCAGCCCGAAACCCTAACCCTAAACCCTCGGCCCCTAAACTCCAAACCCTTGGCGCGCTTGACATTCCTGAACCCTACAAGCCCTTGAAGTTCCTAAACCCTAAACCCTAAACCCTAAACCCTAAACCCTAAACCCTAAACCCTAAACCCTAAACCCTAAACCCTAAACCCTAAACCCTAAACCCTAAACCCTGTTTCTGAGATCGACATCTTCGGCCATGAGTCGATGCTCCTGGTGGCCCGGAACTCCGGTCTCTCCCAGGGGCAGCTCCCGCCTTCGGTGTCCGCAGGCCGCGGAGGGTTTAGGGTTTAGGGTTTAGGGTTTAGGGTTTGGGGTTTAGGGTTTAGGGTTTAGGGTTTAGGGTTTGGGGTTTGGGGTTTAGGGTTTAGGGTTTAGGGTTTAGGTTTGGTGTTTAGGGGGTTTTAGGGTTTAGGGTTTAGGGTTTGGGGTTTGGGTTCAGTGTTTAGGAGGTTTAGGAGGTTTAAGGTTCAGGGTCTGGGGTTTAGGGCTTTACCCTTTTCCCTGTACCCAGGTCTCTGGGCGTTACGGTTGTTTTTGGAAGCTACGGGGCCTGCAATCTTGAAGCCCAAGTCCTCCGTCACCATAGATTCTCCTAAGCCCAAAGAGGGGTTTGCGATAATACAGACCCCAAATAGCAGGATCCCCTTGTAATAAGGACCCCAGTAACCCTAAACCCTAAACCACCCCTAAACGTAAGCCCCCAAAGGCTCTCTGCCACTGAAGGACCGAACGCCAACCTCGGCTACGTCAACGGAGTGGCGCACGCCTACTCGGATTCCGTCCCCGCTCCTCGGGGGCCCATACTTGCGAACGTCCTAAGCCCTAAACCCTAAACCCTAAACCCTAAACCCTAAACCCTAAACCCTAAACCCTAAACCCTCGACCCTAACCACCCACAGAGTCACCCTCTTTTTCAGGAGCCTCCCCTTTGACCCCGCGGTCAAGAATCGTAGACCCCAGGTCCTATCAGGGGGTTTAGGGGTTCAGGGTTTCGGGTTTAGGGTTTGTGGTTTAGGGGATAGGGGGGGGGGGGGTTGGGGGGGGGGGGGGTTGGGGGTCGGGAGTTCAGGGTTATGGCTTGAGCCTCAACCCTAAACTAGAAGGATTTAGGGCTTTAGGGAGCATATTGCAACAAAGACCCAATTCGCGACCGATAGTTTCCTTCACCCCAACATCCAGGGTTTAGGTCTTAGGGGCGTACAGGGATCAGGGTAGCCCTAAACCCTAAACCCTAAACCCTAAACCCTAAACCCTAAACCCTAAACCCTAAACCCTAAACCCTAAACCCTAAACCCTAAACCCTAAACCCTAAATCTATTCCACCTCCCTCAACCCAAGGCCTTTTCACTGATGGCAGCCGCGCAGCAAAATGCCAAGACTGCGCGAGACCTCTTCTTGCTACTTG